GGTTTGGTTGAGTGAGAGTGGCATATTTTTTTAATGTTTCTTTTGATAACAATATCCAGCTGTCTTAAAGTATTTGTAGGCAAGGGACTTGAATATTGTTGGGACTTATTCATCTTCCCATACTTTTCAATCCTTTTGTGTTTTATTTATTAATCTTTTTTTCTTTTTTTTTTTTTTTTACTAAATGTTCACACATTTGGAGGCCTAAGAGCCACTCAAGGCTGAGGATTACTGAATACAGTTGTTGTATGGCTGTTAGAGGAGGAAGAAAGTGCAAATTATGATCAAACACAGGATAGATATCATTTTTCCCCAGACTTGATGAGGTTAAGATTGTAGTGATTGTGGAAGTATCCACATGGGACTATTCTAACAAGTATCAGTACTAAGGAAGAACCTGAGTGGAACTTCCTTTTTACCACTGGAATACAAAGGGGATGAGAATGATTTGACCCTGTGTATGTGGAATGGCTCTTAGCTGTAAAGGTCTGAACTAATAGAATTCGGAATGTAATACAAGGCTGGGTTTATAACAGGCACCACATAAATTCTTGTGGATAGAAGCAAAAATTAGCAAATTCCTGATGGTCTCTGCTGTAGAGCTGTCATGACAACCCATTTAGTATAATGGGGAGGTGCTATTTTGTGGTAGGAATTTCCAGGGACTATATCTGCATTACTTTTAAACCCTATTTTACATGAAAACAAGACTGATTTCAGCACTGAAGGGCTAGAAATGTAAGAGAATATTTGTTTGTCACCTTATGAGCACAAATGTGACACAAGGCCAGGTTTTATATTGGGCTCTGTATGCCTATGTTTGGTAGAAGCAAAATTACCCACAGCCTGTTCTCCAAAAGCATACAGAGTGATCAATAACCCTCTTTAGTACAATTGAGAAGTGCTAACGTGCAATTGGAACTTCTAGGGTCTAGGCTTACTTTTTTAGTGCTATGTCTCCATCATTGCCTGAGATACTGCTGATCCTAGCCCAAAAGCCTGGAAATTAGCCAATGTGCTGATGTAATGTCATTCATTTCATAGTTTGGTTGATTGTAGTACAATGAGTGAAATATATGCAAGAGGGTGCTGATAAGTTCTTAGCCTGACCAAGAAGGCCTTCCAGAAAATATTTTTTTTTTTAATTAGTTTGTCAAATTTTGGGAAATGGTCTCAGCTGAGAATTTATCAGCACCCCTTTATGTTAGTCTTTCATAGTATAAGTAATGAACCTGTGTAAAAAAAAAAAAAAAAAAAAAACATAATGCAAAAAGAATGTCTTGGAAGGTGAAAATATATTTCATTTTTTCTGACTATAAACATAAATATTTATGTCTGCACAGAGAAATGATAAAAGTAAATAAACACCTAAAAATATGAAAATATCAAGGATATCATTATGAATAATCGAGTAGTCTTCCCTTGTTTTGTTACTCTCCTCTTTGAGAGAGTTATTTCTGTTTACTGGGACTATAAAAGGACACTATATGCGAACCTTGTATTCTCAGTTGAATAAAGCTTTGCTTAAAGCCTACATCTTTTGTCATTACAATCATATAAATTAAAATTTGATGATCACGCAATTACCAGTTTTAAGGACTCTTTCAGGCATTAAATTTACGAGATTTACTATCTTGTATAATATCTAACTTAAACTGCATGCAAAAGAAGGTTTTCTGGACATTTTCTTTATTTTTGGTGTAATTCCATCTGGCTGACTGTTGTATGTTTTTCTCTGGTTGTACCAAGTAGCAAAAACTTCTGATTATTTGAACTGTAACTTCAGGTCATTGTGTGTCACTCACAAACAACCTGCATCTCTCATTTTATCTCCACCTTTAAAAATGAAGCTTTCCTCAAATAATTAGCTGGAGGTGATGTTATAGTAGTGGGAAGAATGCCCAACATCCTTTTCATTTAATTGGTCAATGCCACATTCTTTTTTACAGGAGTACCATACTATTTTGAGGTTTACTTCCCTAAACTAAGTTTTACTTCAATTTTTCTTTAACTATATTTGAACACAAAACCAGGTTTTATTTTTTAGGTGTATGTATAGATATCTAAAGCACAAGCATAGATCTAGCAACAATTTTAATTCTATAATCAAATTTGGTTGATTCAGACGTTTCTTCTGGTATTGGTTACTTGGTATCCTGTTTATACCTGTTGGAAAATCAATACACCTACATAATTTATTGTTTCTTTTCTTGACTATCACCATTGCTGCTCAAGAAAGAGAAAAAATTATAAATGAAATGACAACCAGCTTTTCAAGTCTCTCCGATTCCAGATCTATACTTTCATAGTGGTAGGAAGAATTGATTTTTCAGATGAAAAACTGGTTTGCTTTCAAGTGTACATATTTTTTTTATGATAAAGTTTGCTCTGTACAAGGACTGAGGCCACTTGGGTTTGGTTACATTAAGAGGCTCTTTATGCTGATAGGAGACAAAGATAACAATTAACCTTAGACTTGAACAGGTTATGATAGTTGTGATTGGGAAAAACATCCTCTTGGTAGTCAATTCCATAGAGCAATGGTTCACAGGAAGAGGCTGCTCGAGTGGAACTTCTCACTAATGAAATACAGAGGGAATGTGTGTGGTTTGCTACAATGTGAGTGACCTTGCAGGTCCTAGCCGTGAAGGTTAAAACTGGTGGAAACATTGAATGTAGTTTGTCTTGAAATAGCAATAGAGCAGTGAGAGGCTTGTATCTTTTGCAATGGATCATATATACGAGTTCCACTTGAGGTCAGGTGTGAGTTTAAGATTCAATAGTCTCTCAAGACACAGAGCGATAGTTCAGGGTCCAATCAGTAATAATGGAATGTAACTAGTTTGGTTTTCAAGGCATTGAATGTAACCAGCCAGTTATTTCCCCATTGATAAGTTAGTACTAGATCAGATGAGAGATAATAAAGACACTTTAGCCTTGGGGCATAGGCCTAACTTTTGAAAATAATTCAATGAATTTACCTTTTTATTTTTTTTTTATTTGGATAAAGAAGAAATGTTACCTGAAATGGATTTTACCAAATTACAAATTGACTCCATTGAACTGTTCCACAAGGCAAAACTTTCTCACCACTCAATACCAAAAGGATTTAGTCTTATTTTCTTTTTTATTTATCCTTTTACCTTGAAAATCAATTGTCTGTTTGCTTTCAGCAAGAATTTTTAATTCAATTCACAAAGCACTTAACTTTTTGATAGCTTTTTTTAATTATTGAGGAACTGATTGTTTTTCCACATTGTTTTTTTTTTCAAATAATTGTTATATCAGATACTATGTCTTGTAATGTAGCAAGTATCTTATTTATGCTATATGAAAAAATATTACTTCTCATTATTGTTTGAATTACATGTGAATTGGTAATAATTAAAATAGCTAGCATATAAAGCTTTTAGAAATACATCAACAAGTCTCCCAAAAAGCAAATCAACAGCAAATTTTGGGATAATGCCATTAAATTAAAATAAAAAATTGTATAGTTAGTATACCAAGGGATAAAAAAGAATTTTTGACTATTTGCTGTTGGTTTGAATAAATTAAAAAAAGGATGATTTTGCAACAGGTCATTGTCAGTCAACTAAAGAATTACCAACTTGTCATATCCTAAGCAAATTTTTTATCCAAAGAGGGAAACAAAATGGTTAGTGATCAAAAGACTCTTTGAAAATTGGAACTACATAGCAGTTTCTCAATGTCAATATTCATTTTTTTCTACTAAATGTATGAATTTTCTCTACAAACACACATCCATTTTTATGGACCTTTAAAATAATGTCTACTATGAAAATATGAATAGAAAATCAATTTATGCATACCATTACATACAAAAACTTTTGTTGTAAAAATGTAAATAACTTGCAGTTTTAAATTTTTCCACAATTATTGTAAGTTTATTTATTTATATATTAACTGTACAGATTTTGCTATAAATTTACTGAGTGAAGGAAATAATTTCTTTTATGGGTTCATTTTTTTCTCTTTTGATTCTATTTGCCTTTTTTTTTTCACCCGAGTAAAGGAAATTATCAGTTTCCTATATGACAGTAAATGCTGGACAATATCCTCAACTATAAAGAAGAAATGTGTTTCTACAGAAGTATTCCAAGAATACTGAATATGTAAGCAATAACAAAGTTCTAGAGACAATAGAAACAAGGAAGTCATTTATATTTTTAACATCAGGAAGAGATAGTTGAAATTTCATTAGGGCACATAATAAGGCTTGGAAAATATGATACTCACAGGACAGATTGAAGACAACAAGGAGAAAGGAAAACAACATATACCTAGTGAGCTTGAGTAAATGGATGGCAGAGCAGAATTTGGGGAGGACAGGAAATTGTGGAGAGCCATGACCGCCAACATTTTGAATGAACACAACACATAGAAGAAGAAAGAAAACTAGAAGAAATATTTTTTTCTTCAATGTGCAAGATGAATGAAAAACAAAGCAATACCTATAATATTTGCCTCAATGAAGAGTTAATAAAATTTTTGTTAAATATAAATCTGGCAGATTTTCCCAAAAACTTCATTTTTTTATGAAAATATTTCAAATTTAAGGAGAATAATGCAGATATTTTGTCCTTTCTTACCTATTTTTCTTCTCTTTTTTTTTTTTTTTTTAAATTCTTTTTGTTGGCCTATTTTTTTCCTTTTTTCATTTCTTTTTCTTACTATTAATATATATATATATATATATATATATATTAATAGTATAACAGATTTGCTAAAGTTTCTGTGATGCTTTAAATATGACAGTTTTTTAAAATTCTAGAACTGATGATGAAATATAAGAATAGTCATTTTATTATTTAGGATTTAGTCAATGGCTTCTTATATCAATGAATATCTAGTAGGTTGGGTAATAAAGTTTTAATATTATAAACAATAATGTATTTGTTGATCTTATAAGTCTCAGATAAGGGACCTAATATTTATGAATAAACATTTTAAATTTGTACATTTTCATTCTATTTCAGATTTATACTCTGCAAAACCTTGATGTTGAAATAGAGGCAAAAGTTGAACATTTAAGTCATTTTGTAGGAGTGTCATTTATGTCTTTTGCAGGTAAGTTTCTTTAATCTTTTATTGTCAGTTGATGTACAATCAATCATATAAAGAATGTTGTGACACCAATGTGTAATAATGTTTAATAGTTTCTTTTTTTTTCTGTTTATATGCATTCAAGAATACAAAAAATTCAGACAATAGTTATCTTATTGATGTGTAGTTACTTGAGTTGAATGTAAATGGTTTTCTATTACATTATTTTTATGTAATTAAATTTATAAAGTATTCTAGTATTATTATAAAAGAAGCTTTCTAAAATTTTTCAGCTTTGATTTTTCCCCAAGTGCATTAAGAGAAACATAAAAGCCAAAACAAATATAGAGGCCACAAAAAGTAGTATACAAACACAAAATAAGTATAAACCAAATTTTATAAATTTATATTTAATGTGAATGAAATTCAGAAATACAGTTTTAATGAACTCATTTGTGGAACACTTGGTTCCTGCTCGATTAGTCAGGATACCTACATAATCAAATTGGGCTGTATATGATTTTATCTGTGCCAGAAACCACCAGCTGTCATATGACAACCAACAATAAAATTGTGATCTGAGAGTTTCAACTCAACCAGCCGCTGTCCAGAAGGTGGAAAAAAGAACATTTGGGATCAAGTAACACTCAGTCAGAAGAGGGATTTCCAGTCAGGCTGCATTCTAGGTAGGGGTAGTTGCAATCAAATTTAGAGTCACGGTCAGTGTAAGAAGATATCTATAGACAGTGGGTGTTTTTGCTGGTTGAAGGGAAGATCTTGTGTATGAGTCTATCATGAGAGAAGACAGAAGTGTGATATCTCACCTTCATTTGTTTTGTGGAATATACACTGTGCCTTTTCCAGTTTTGTTCATAATGATGCAAACAGTAAATGAACCACAGTGTGAAGTAGCTGGCCTTGTGAAAAATAAGGAGTCCAGGCATATATTCACATATTTATAAAAAAAATAACATCTTTTAAATATCATTATACTGATGATACAATGATAACTCCAAAACTCTAGATGATCTGAGCCTGAAAGTTGATCTCTCTTCTGACCTAGCTCTAACAGCTCAATGAGATAAAAACTGGCTGACCACATTCAATGCCTCAAAAAACAAACTAGTGATGTTCCATTATCACTGAATGGACCCTGAATTTTTGCCTATCATGATGAATGGGTGTTCTGTCTTAAGCTCAGCCCAAACTTCAAGTGGAATTCATATATATGATCCATTGCTAAGCTAAACATAATAGAAAAATAGTCAGTTCCTTGGACAGATCAGCTCAAAATTGGAGTCCTGCTGTCATATATGGACAGGAGATGCCCATTTTTTACTTTCCAGTCTTGATAGAGACCAAAATTGCCTCTGCGTCCCTGTGGGTGATGAATTATTTTCCACCCTACAACTGCTTTCCTACAGATGAAATGTTGCAAGCCTCTTGCTGCTCTATCATTATTTCCATGGAAAGGTGTTCAGGCAAACTATATTCCTTAGTTCCACCATTCCTAACCATCATAGCTAAGGCCCACCATGTGACATACACTGTTGCAAACTACGTAATTCTCTTCTTTGTATTCCATTGATGAGAAGTAAGTTCCACTCAAGCAGCTTCTTCCCATCAACTGCTGCTTTGTGAAACTGACTCTCAAGAGGATGCTTCCCAATCGCTACAATCCTAGCCTGTTCAAATCTAGGGTTAACTGTTATCTTTGCCACATATCCACATAAACTATGCTTCTTACTCTGTAACACTCTACTTTGAGTTACTCTTGGGCCTTGTACAGGATGAACATTATTGTAAAATAATAAAAACTAAAGAAGAATCCTGGATACAATACATGAATGCCTTCTCTATATTGTTTATAACATTGTTACTTGATTGTGTTTGCATATTACATCTGTTACATTTTCTTTCAAAGTATGAACTTTGTGTTGTTCATTCAAGTTAAACAATGTCAATCCTGATCAGTATCTAGATGGGTGAATCCTTGGGAGTACCAGATGCTGTAAGGTTGGATGAGCAGGTGGTGTAATGGATATTGGCTCAGTATTGTTAATCATAGAGCTGAGCTCCAATTTCTGTTGTTATACTCACTTATGTGCAAATGCCCTTGGGAAAGGTATGAATCTTCTTCTTCTCCCCCAGTTATGGGTTAATTAGTTAGAAAAAAAAATCATACAATCTAAAAATATTTTCTGTCTTTAAATAACCTTCAAAGGTTAGAGAATCTGTAGAAAACAAATCAGTCAATCAATTTAAATATTGCAAAATTAAAAATTCTGGTGTAGTTAACTAAGTTGCCAGTTCATGTTGTTACTATGAGAGATGATTTGACTTTCAAACATTTGGTTATATCCAGGGTTTATATAACAAATAGCATGATCCTATTTAAAACCTCTGAAAATCATTATTGTCAGTTCCATTTAGTGCTGATCTAAGAAAGTTATTGATTATTTATCAGCAACTGTTGCACTTTCAGTATTCTCAGAAATGTAGGGTCCACTCACCTGTCATAAAAACTGTACATATTCTAAAATCAATTTAAAACTCTTTTATGGTTCAGTTCAGTTATTAAGTGCCATGTGTGAAATATGTTTGGAATATTATGTCTCTTTTGATTCATGACTGACTAGGCAAAAGATTTTTCCACAATAGGTTGCTGTTTCTTTCTGCAGTAGATTGATTGCCAACCAAGGCTATAGGACCCAGTCCTGCTATTCAACCCAGACTGGGAGGTGAAGAGATGGATTCATACCTTTCCCAAGGGTATTTGCATGTAAGTGAAAGCAACCTACCCAACTGGAATTTGAACTCAGTTCTCCATTTTTTTCATGCCAATCCACAATCCATTACACCACCGATCATGATCAAAATTTCATTTATTGCTGATCGAAGAATTATGTTTGATTGTATGTTTCAGTTCCTTTATATTTAATCTAATCTAAAAATCCCTACTCAACTTTCAGTAGACACTGTATATTGCAATAAAAGCTTTTGTGTCTACTTTTGTAAAAGGAACCTATCATCTTTGTTGTTTGTGTAGCTGCATCCTTGGATTAGCTGTTCAGCAGAAAGAGTTTAATGAGCTATTTAGTATTCCCAGAATATTGATCAAATCAATCTCACACATGTTTGTCATAGTTTGCTAATAAACAATAACTTTCAACCAGAAGTGTCACCTTAAATGTTGTGAGATATTGATGTGAGGAGTGTTTGTTTATGGACAGATAAGCAGTGTGTATAGCCAGCTAAATAGATAAGAGATATTGCATCAGAATTTTTGAAGATTGTATTTGACAGGAAAGCAAGAAGTTGAAAGATAGTTTTACAAATGATAAGTGCAGGAGAAGAAACTATTAGTGCAGAACTTACGGTTACAACTAGCAATTTCAGCAGTGAAATTATGAGACCTAACTGTCAATCTAGTACTCTGCTTAAATTCTTTTACCTTTAATATATCCTGTGAGTGTCAAATATTCCAGGCTGTCTTTCTTCATTATGCATCACAGAAATTTCAACTCTTTCTGATTCTAAGTATATGTGACCTTTTTTGTTTCCATTTTCCTTAAGACTTCCTCCTTGCTTTACATGCTCAATACAATGTATTCTCAGCATGCTTCTGTAGAACTACATTTCTTTTGCCTCCATTTACTGCCATATAGGAGGATTGATATTACAAAGCAGTTTGCCACTCTTTCTAATGAAATTTTCCTATTTCTTAGTACTTTGTTTAGTTTTTGGAAGGCATCTTTTTTATTCCAATGTGTCTTTGGATTTTGGTGTTAGATTTTCCCAGATATTTAAACTTCTTTTTTGTTTTCTTACATCTCCAATTCATAGCTTGCATTTTTCTCAAAGATGAAAATAATGCATTAATATTAATAATTGTTAAGTAAAAACATTGTTAAAAACCATTGCTTTTGTCTTTGGCTTTATATTGAAGAGGTTCATGCCTTTTCATTCAGACTGCTGATCTTAGAAGCAACTCTGTTACATAAGCACTAACAAATAAAAATGCAGTCTTTTTACATCAGAACATAAAGTTGGGGGTTACACAAAACATATGTCCTGCACTATTATCCTTTCTTGAGTATTAAATGAAATGGTGGTCAGGGAATGACATGTTTTCCCCATCCTCTTACACTCCAACAGATGTCTTTTACTGTGATTCTGCCAGATCAGTTTTCTTTTAATAATGACAATGTATTTCTGATGCAGCTTACCTGACCAGAATGGAAATAAACAGTCAAAGTTTACCTCTAAGGTATTTCACCATTGGTAAAAGCTATCGACCAGGTAAGTGAATTCTTAGATTTATCACTTTAGAATTTTATTTTAGCCAAGAAGATTCCATAGATGATTACACAGATGAAAAATTTTTATCGCTTTAAAACATATCAGCCTTGAAGATTCCATAGATAAAATATTTTTTATCACGTTAAAAAAATTATATTGGTGTAGTATATTGCTGCAGGGCTCAAATAAGGAGACAAACACACATATAAAAAAATATAAATATCATTATTGTTCAAGTTGTGGCGAATGGGTAAAGTAAGAGAGAATTAAAGAGGTTAGGATTGTGCACACAGAAATTGATGGAGACAAATCTTCAGTGAACCTCTAGCCAGACCAAGAATCAGACCGTTTAAATAACATTTTAACACCTTCACAACTTCACATGGCTATGCCTACCTATGCAGATTCATATGGCCATGCCTCTTCTGGCATGCACCTACACAAGCACTCATTTCCTTCTGCTCAGGACACCTGTGTGCCCTTTTTATTTTAGCCACCAGATGCATTTTCTGTTTATGCTATCACCAATTCCAATTTCCACTCACACATTGATGCATCAGAAGTAAGGCCAAAGGTCTTTCCTCAACTGATATCCAACATTGGCTTAAATGATACCATAGATGTATTATTTATCACTTTAAAACATTATATTCACTGAGAAGATTCCATAGATAAAAAAGAAATAAATGTAGAAACTCATGTTTAATTTTTGTTTGAAAATAAAAAAGTAACATTTATCAATAATTTTATAAATGAACAAAAATGAAAATTCATACTTAGCTATAACATCCTAAGTTGATAAGGATGAAAATGTATCATGGTATCTGATATGTCATTGTTTGTATCTGTCCATCTTGAGAGATTATGGTGTCTATTATGTTGGCTAGTTGCAGACACCTACTCAGGCACATTTGTATTTCTTCAACACCCAGAGAGAAAACAGATAGTTTATACTACATCTATTCTGAGTTGGTTGATAGGAACATGAAAGTGGTGTAATGGTTGCAGCTCAGAATGAGAAATTGGTAAGCTGAGTTGAAATTCCAGTTCATTGCATTCACTTTTGCACAAATACCCTCGAGAATGGAACGCATCTATCTCTTCTCTTCCTGCCAGCTATGAGCTAAGTGGTTGGCAACCAGTTTAGGGGAAGGATTACTTTGAATTCAAAACCAGTTGGGCATGGGATTAACCATGCCATCCCATGAAAACCACAGCAGTGACATGTAGCATGTTGAGGCTGTGACCCCATACTCTACAGTTTGAGTATATAGGACTTGAGTGAGTGATTGAGGTGATATTAGTTACATTTTCTGGGAGAGAATATATATATATATATATACACACACACACACACACACACATCATGTTCAGCAATGAGAGACACTGGGAATTCTAAATTTCAAAATAATTTTTCTGTTAATTTTTCATGTGTTTTAGCCAATTTCATTTAGATTCTTTTCCTTTAGATTCTTTTCCTTTTTCTTTCTGTTTCCATCACTTTTGTTATTATATATCCCACACTGTGATAATAGAAGACCTGCCAAGAATGGTGAAATGTTGTGGACACAAATTTACTGTGGATGATCTAGGGACTAAACTATCTAAATATTTTTGTCAGTCAATTGTTTTCTCTTTTAGCATTTTTTATATCAAAATTGTAATCAGTGTTGTAAAAAAAATCCCTTTTGTGTTCATATAATATTTTATTTAAATTTCTTGAGGTTTTGCCAATGTATTCTTTGTGGCAATCATTACAGGTAAATTCCTCCTTCAAGTTTTAGCTTATTGTTTTGTTTTTTATTAAGTCTTTTATTGTTTTAGACGTTGTGACAAATTTTATGTTGAGTTTTCAATTGTAGTTGAGATAGAGTTAGTGAATAGAACAATATATGTTTTTGATTCATTACATAAAGACAAATTATACATGTTTAAAAAAAATGAGACATTATTAGAAATTTTATCATGCCAAAAAAAAACATTTTATGATTTAAATTTTCCTCTCGTCAAAATATCCTCCTTTAGCCTTGATTACTGCAGCACAAATTTTTGACATTCGTTGCAAAAGTTTCTCAAAGTTTGATAATTGATTCCATTTTTTTTTCAATGACTCTAAGAATGCTTTTCATTTTTTTTTTTTCACTCTTCTGTCAATTTCATCCCATGATAATTCTGGGGGTGGCTTCAAACTTTTTTACTCTAGTGTATGTATGTGTGTGTGTGTGTGTGTGTGTATGTATGTATGTATATATATATATATATAATTTATTCAAAATTATAACATAAAGCACAAAATCACTACAAAATAGCTATTTTGTTTCAACACTTCTGGTATCTTATCAAGTGATGATGTTGAATGTAGAATAAATTTTTTTAAAAAAATCAATCAAACCAATTTTAAATTTGCAATTACCAATAAAAATACAAGTATATGAGAATTCAAAAAATTATAAAACCTTGGTTATAATAATTAATGCCTTAATGTTAGGGTTAGACTAAAATAGAAATCATTCTAAAATATAAAATTTTAGTATAAAATTATTTATTTTAAATTTAATTCTGTATTAAGTTTAAAAATTATAAAATTATTTAAAAACAAACTGAGAAAAATAATGTTTTGTTATTTATTTTGTTTTAATTGAAAGTTAAAATTTAAACATTAAAATCTAATGTTGTTAAGCTTCGTTACAACTTAGATACATTTGAAGGGATAATATGGGCAGGGGTTGGGGTGAAATCTTGCAAAAGACAATGCATACACAATTAGATAATAATACACAAACACGTAGACATAGTTAGATATATAAACATGCAAAAACATGAACAAAACAGGAAATAGATGTTCACAACCCTAAAAAAAAAACCAACAACATTTACATACAATGAAAGGCATATATAAGCAACCATACATACATACATTAATAAAGACACAGACATATACACACCAAAAAATATTCAAATTTGAAAGTGTTAGTAAACAAATACAAACATACTATTAAAATATAACTTACATGGGCAAAGATATATAGATAAACATGGTTCAATACATAAAATTTAATAGGGGTAGAATAGAAAAACAAATATTCGTCAATGAACAATGTAAAGAAAAAAAGAGACACTAAAACATATAGAAATGGATAGAAAAATAAATATATACACATACACACACATAAGAAAACGCCAAATTCAAATGTCCAGGCAAAATGTAACATTTAAAATAAAAACTAATATATATAAAAGAAAAAAAACATAAACACACAAATATATATAAATATCTCATATATATATATATATAAAATATATAAACATTTATATATATAAATATATAAATATATAAAAACATGTAAAAAATACATAAATCATGTGTACACATTTGTCATAAACATAAATATAAATACATACATATACATACATATATATATACATATATATATATATATATACATATATATATATATATATACACACATATATACACATACACACATATAGAAATAAATATAAATATAACAACAAACATACTCATAACATGAAACATAAATTTAAAATATATATATATATATATATATACATATATACAAATATATGCAAACATATATATATATATATATAAATATATTAAAAAAATAAAATGTTGATTATAAGTCTACAAGCAATTTTAAAAATACTATCAAACAAAAGTAGAAAATAGTATAATGGACAATATAATAATACATCTCAAACACTAAAATATACACATACACATATATATATATATACAAAAATATATACATGTTCACACAATACACACCAATATATAAACACACACACATAATATATAACAGCCATCAATATTTTAAATATATATATATATATATATATATATATATATATATATACACAAATATATACAATACATTACATATAAAATAAATATATATATATATATTACATATATATACATATAAAAATACATATATACATATATATACAAATACACATACACATAAACATATACACACATATATATATATACATATATACATAAATACACACACATATATATTTATAATATATATATATATATATATATATATATAAATATATATATATATATATATATATATATAAAATATACACACATGTGCAGACACAAACAGCATAATATATGCATATCTACATATATGTACATAGATAGGAGGATTATCAGATAATAAAAGTAATAACATACTAAACTTACAGTAACATTGCCTTATCGTCAAAAATATTACTACCCCTATAGTAAGTTAAATTTATAGCTATGTTTACAGTTAACAGTGAGTTCATTCCTTTGATTTAAGAGATGGGTCTTGTCTTTAAATCTAATGATTTCAAATTTTTCATTAAGACATAAATAACATGGGGCATATAGAGAATTACATGTTTGAGCTCTCTTAATTAATTTCCATTTAACAGTAGGTGTCTTGTTTTTCTCCTTTAAACTCCAAAAATACTTGGATAATGAAGTCTTGTATTTATGATTACTACTGTTGAAAGATTGCACATGTCCCTGCCAATGTTCTTTGAATGTATTCATAGTACTTCCAATGTAAAATTTTTTAATATTGGGGTTTTCTAGTGTAGAAATTGTACTCAGATAAACTAGAGAACTAGTTAAACAATTATTCTGTAATGGGCAATTATTTGGATTCCTAGAATTGCACAAGTTGTTATTAGTGTCATTATACTTAGTTTTACTCGTTGCAACCTGGCGAGTAGTCAAGTTTTTTGAGTCCCTATACTTGTTGAAGACTCTGTTATTATGTTTCTTAATTATTTTTTCCAGGTTATCAGCACAACCATAGCTTAATTTAAGGGTATTATAATTGAATATTTTACTGAGTGGATTAGTTTCAGGGTTCAGGGTTGGGGAAATGTTTTTTGATAAGTTTTAGAAATTTATGTTCTAGCTTGGTTTTAACCATTAGGTTGAAAGGGGGAGTAAACCAAATGATCTTCTTGGATATTCTTTTCTTATTGTGGTCATAATTAACAGGATTTCTATATTCAATATTGGTACCCTTGTAGCCACTATTTCTAAGGGTAGAATTGTAAAATTCACAATGTTTATTAAAAACCTCTTTGCTAGAAAAGTTAGTACTTATCCTAAATTTAGTGGAGGAGGGTATTTACTTAATAACAGAAGAAGGTGGTTGGAATTGGGATGTACATATATCGGGTTAGAATTAACTTTCACATAAGGTTGAAAAGAGCTATTAGTAAGGTCTAGGGAAACATCCAGAAAATCTACCTGTTTAATGTTAGTCATAACTATAGTCCTAAAACCTAAATCCTTAAACTCCTTATGGATCATTTTTCTAATGCGATCTACCTTAATTTTTGTAGAGTTTTTAACAACTAATAAGCCATCATCTCTATATAATCCTACACTATCAGAATCTAGACATTCAAAGGCACTTAAATTGTATAAAAGAAATAATCCCACCAAGTCAGAGGCTTTAGCACGGTCTAAAGAACCCATTGAAATGTCAAAATTATTGCTGTAAGACATTTTGGTCTGCTGTTCTTCATTGTAAAGCAGAACAGAATTTCGGCATTTCAAGATTATATGCACTTCATTCTCAGAAATATTGGCATATTCCTGAGTGAACTCCAAGGCCAAAGTGAACAGATCTTTAGATATGGAGGGATAGTAGTCAATAATTTTGAACTGTGTGAAAGTGCAGTTGTCCTTATTTTGGATGCCAGTAAAAAAGTTGATATTATATTATATTTGCTCTACTCTGTATTGAGCACTCTTTTAAGAATAGTATTTTTTGGTTATTGAAATTTATTCCGTATATACCAATCCTATACTTGGGTATAGATATATATATATCAACATTCTTGTTTTTACAATTTTTACAAAAAAAGACTTTTCTTGGAAGATATCCTATGAGCCAAGTGGTTAAAACTTAAAGAATGAAAATGAATAATATTTGATTATCAAATATATTTTTGAATCAAATATTGCTTAATCACAATTCATTTTGGAGGTTTTGCCTAAATGTATTCATACGTATAGACAAATACAAACTAGGTACTTATTTCACTGGGTAAATTCTAACACACCCAAATTTACTTTTTCTCTTCAAGAAATATGTTTGTTTTATTCTAGCTTTATCTGACTCTGTGGATTCCGGTCTTTATGAAGCTGTTCAAACATCTAAAGTAAGTTCTTTTTTATTTGTTTTCTTTCAGTGCTTTTTATGAAATATAAAATTGTTTATGTAATCTGTGATATCACAGGTAGGAATTATATTATGAAAATTACATCAGAACTTTTTTCACTCTAATGATGTTTTATATATATATATATATATATATATATATATATATATATATAAGAAATGTTTTTAAAGTGTAGTCATTGTCACGGTTTTCTAATAATGATAAGTTGACATTTATTTTCAGAATTTACAAAGAGATATTTCAAAATATTTTTTGAGCAGTTGATTTCCATTAGTTCACAAGATATGAAGATTATACATGTGAAAATGTTATAATGTAGAAAACCAGTATAAGATTTTCTATCATAAACAAGTGGTAACTGGAACATTATTGGCCTTTCAAGCTGCATGTATCTTTAGTATGGGACTCACCTCCAAAATAGACTTTGCACTTTGAGGAGAGTGAAACCACCTCTTAATTGCTGTTGTTCCCAGGTCCACCCTGACCTGGTGTGGTAGCACCTGTTAGGGTCCCAGCTATGGGCAAATAGTGAATCCTCTAAACAAAAACAAAACACTATGAAAGTATAAAAATACATATTTACATACCAATATTACCAACAATACATATTTATATAAAAAAAATAAATCACAAATAATACAAATTTATATAAAAATAAATCACAAATAATACACATTTATATAAAAAAATTACCAACAATACATTTTATCTCTAGTTGAAGGCATGTAATTGTGTTCAAAATATTTATATTTTGGCATTAAATTAAAGATATCTGCTAAACAAAACCAACCACACCTCATCCATTAATCCTCTATCTTGAGTGCCTCTCGAAGCTTCTATTAAGTGAATTTTACTGAAAAAAATAATACTGTTCTATCAGAAAATAATGAACAAACCAATTTCATTTTCACTTCATCCTGATGCCTTTGGGGAAGTCATGAATTCATTTCTCCCTGTGCTCTGTTCTATTGAGAGATATTATGAAAAAATACCTCATCACTTGCATGTTATGATGGTTGACAGATATAAAAGAATGGATACGTGAAGATTTGGGAAAAATGACTCCCAAATAGATTTTATTTGTATTCTACTAGAAAACTTATACAGATTATTAAGAGGTACGACTAGAGAAAGTAAAAGCAGAGGAAAAGTTTCTGTTAATTTCATTAATGACTTTGACTATCTAATCATTTGTGATTATTAAGTGTCATTTTAATTATTATCAGGAATTTCTAATAATGATAAGATGGCAATTAGTTGAAATATCATATGAGCATCTGGTTTTCATTAAGTCAAAAGATATGGAGATTACAGATTTGATAACATTATCATTCAGAATTCAGGTATTAGTTTTTCTGTTGTCCACAAAAGATAATTAGGACAACACTGAATACAATAAAAGAAAACAAAAAAACAGGGTCACAATGATAAATATGCCATCCAGATATTGAATATTGCTGTCACATTTGGTCTGGTGCTTTTGCTATGTAGTTTAGAGATTCTTGATAAAATACAAAGAATAATCTGCAATGTTATTGATCCTGACCTGGTATCTCAGCTTCAGTCAATTTCGCACCACTGTAATGTAGCTTCCATGTTACTTTTCTATAGCTATTTTCATGGTAATTATTCTGATGGGTTTTATGAATTTAATTGCCATAAGGTCTCATCATTTTACAGTGGAAATGGTTGGATATAACTAAGTTCTATGCTAACAGTTTCTTCTCTTGCACTTCTCACTTATAGAAATCTCTTTTGACTTCTTGCCTTCCAGTCAACTTTGATTTTCAAAAATTGAAATGCAATGTCAATCATTATCTTCTTAATTCCTGTTCTTTTATTGTTTTCTCTCTTTAATAATGTATCTTTTTCTCATATTTTCTCATGCTCAGTAACACGCCCATTTCTTAGTAGCTTTATGGCCTTGCTTGGGATGAAATGATTAAAAAAAATTAAACCAACTCAGAAAATCTTTTATTTTTGAGCTATACTTCTTATTTAACATGTGTAGAATGTAAAAGCAAAATGAAAGCAAAAAAACAGTATCATTGATTGAATGATTTATTTTTTATGGTTTATCAACATTTTGCAGGTTATTTAAATCCAGAATATATTTTTACATTGTAAGAAGTTTTTAAAGATAATAATGACTTACTAATATATATCCTACTAATGAACCCATAGCTGGTGGGAGAAGAGGTGGATTCATACCTTTCCCATGAATATTTGCGCATGCATAAGTGAATATAATGAACCTGACTGGAATTGGAACTCGGCTCTATTGCACCACCTGCCCATCCAAACTTACAACACCTGGTATTCCCAAGTGATCACTCATCTAGGTACTGACCAGGCTCAACATTGCTTAACTTGGGTGATCATATGAGAACCGGTGTTTCAACATGATATGGCTGTAAGCTAACAATATAGTGAAAGAAAAACTAGTTAAAAGTTAATAATAATGACAATGTTTTGCCTTAAAAATTTGAATACTGGTTGTGTATGTAAACAAAGAACATAGCAATGTATCAGGTGTTCAAGGAAAATAAGAAATAAAGGTGATATGTCTAGATTTGAATTACTGGAACTAGTTGGCATTCACAGCTTGATCAAGGAAACAGTTACTATGTAAAACAAGTTCTCATGGGTAAAGGATATGAATTCAAATTTTACTGGAGGCTTATTTTTTATTTCTGGTCTGCACTGTTTTTGTTAATGATTTTGAAATGATGATCTGGAAATTATAGCAAAAAGAAATGGAAAAAAATCTTGTAAAAAATGAATACTGAAATGTTTCACCTTAGTAATTTGAAGAATGTTACAAGTGTTGAAGAATACTACAAGTGTAATAAAAACAATAACATTATGGTAGCATAGTGGAGAACAAAGACTTGTATGATATTGTCTATTTGCATGATGCCTACTGGTGAAGCTTTCGTGGCCTAATTTGATAAGATAATGTTGCAGTATGACATACACTGTGCGATAGGTAAATTGTCGCCATTTTATATTTTTAATTTCACGCATATGTAGTGCTTGTTTTTGATTTTGTCAACTGCACAGTATAGTAGGGTCAGTTGGGCACCATCTGTGAGAAAAAGATCTCCATGATGCAATTCACCCCACCAGAAATTTGAAAGCAGCATGCTCTACTGCTTGGCATTCACACCAGAAGCTTCAATACAAACATTTCAGAGTATTTGTATGTCAATCTGTGGACTGCGTAGAGGATTCAGAAAGAGTTGTATGAATCTAATGGTGATTATGAATGTATGGCAGCTTGGAAAACTCCCTCTGATCATTCTGCTATACAAAAATAGAAAGGGGTGTAAGACAAGGATGTGTCTTCTTATTGAACTTATTTAAACTATACAGCAAGGCAATCCTGAAAGATATAGTAGTCCTACCAGGATTCATTATTGGTGACCACAATCTTAATAATATAAGATATGCAGATGACACAGTGCTGATAGCAGACACAGAAAAGAAACTACAAAACCTCCGAAAGAAGATAGTGAAGGAAAGTATAAACTACAAGACAGAATGCATGGTTAGCAGCAAAAAGACAAGACCAAAATGAAAATTACAAGTCAAGAATACTAAAGTTAAGTCGGTACAGAGATTTAAATATCTGGGAAGTGTTCTAACAAAGGATGGAAAGTGTGACAATGCAATCCAAATAGGAGAACTAGCAAGGCTTAAAATGAATACTGATACAAATATTAAGAAAATCCGAGGATCCCTTTACTGAGATAGAAAAGATTGTATACATTTGCACTCATTATATACACAGCTCAGATCTTAGGTAAGACCTAATAAGTAGGAGTTGTCGTTTTCTTAGACTGGTTGCCAACCAAGGCTAAAGAGCCCAGTTTGCTCTACTATTTAACTAATAGCTGGGAGTTAAACAATAATAAAAATAAAAAAAAACATCAGGAAATGTTAATGTTTTTTTTTTAAATTACAAATTATAATAAGTTTATGGGGCCCACAAATTTTTTATCATGACTGTTAATTCTTTCTTTCATTTTTAAGTTGCTGTAAGGTTTTTTAAAATTTTAGTGGTTAATATTACAGAGAAAGCACTTAGTAGAGTTCAATCTCTACCTGAAAGAGGAGCATTCATGCATTGTGAAAGGCATAAATTCACTTCTCTCTTTATAGCTATGAGTAAATAGGTAACTTTAAGTAGTTTAACCCTGCAAGGCAATTCATATTATGCATTGAACCAGCAACCCAGTCCATAGAACTTGATTTGTTACTGAAACCACAGCATCACTTGTTGGTATTGCAGCCAAGTGCTCCACAGGGAGTTGAGTCAGCAAGATTTAACAAGATAAGTTTTTAAGTTAATGAATTAAGATAACATTGAAAAACCAAAATTTTTAAGTGTTTATATATTTAAGTGGCTTTATTGCCTTACTTGGGGTGAAATGATTAAAGAAAAAAAACAATAAAAATCTTACAACACTATCCATGTCTCCACATACACAAACAGGTGTTGGTTTATCTATGCAAGTCTTTTTTATTGTATAATTTTGTTTACATTTATCTAAGTATCTTTCATTATGGGGGGGGTATTCTATTCTTTACTCTGTAATTAAACATGAGGAGTGAGTGGCCATGGTTAAATGTAAAATAAATGACAGAACTGTCCAACAAACAGAAGTGACAAAGTTTGCAATAACAAGAAAAAACGGAACAGAGCAAAAATAATATAAAACAATCAAACATCAAACAATATATGAAAGGCAAATTAACAGTAATAAAACAAAGCAACAGTAATATTTTAAAAAGTTCACAAACTAAGAATTGGGGTTGACACACAAGAGCAAGTTTAGATAAGTGAACATACTTCAAGACAAGACAGATCAGGACTGAGTCATATGAAACTGAGAACCAGCCTATTTTATTGGCTAGGAAGAAATCCCAGTATGCATTTGTGTGCATTTGGGGAGGGGAAAGTGTTTTGCAGTGATTCCATACAGGAATTGAAACCAACATCACATACCTTTTAGACTTAATTTTTTTTTTTCTCAAAGCCTGCTTGTTGATTTGTTTACAAAAAACTTGATCCCAACATTCTGCAGTATTAAATTCTATCTCCTTGCTATCTTAACATTATTGTTTTTACCAAGTTGTATGACATGGTTTCAATTGTTTTTTTTTTCAATTTGATTTACTTGGCTTTGTTGCTGCCTTTTTTTCCCCCTCCCCTCCCTTCATAGGTTAATAACACATGATCATTTTTTAATGTAGGTGTTAATATATATATTATATATTTTTTAATGTAGGTGTTAATATATTCAACTGAAATAGCACAAGACTCAGGCTCATATTTTATATTGTCATTTAGAAATTGGCAGCTTCTCAGCAGTGTCACTAGTGTAATGGATAGCAATTCTGGATGAGAAATGAGAAAGCCAGAAAGTTTGAATTCCCAGATGAGTTTGTTACATTCACTTATACACAACTACTCTTGGGTATCAATCATTCCAGCTGTAGGTTAAATAGTAGAACTTATAACTTGAAAAGTCATTGTTATCTCCAAAAGATTGTTAATGTACTATTCACTCACAAAAACAAAGGAATTATTCTTACAAACCAAAAATATATTTCGACTTTAAATAATCCACAAACGGTTAATAATCAATAAAAAAAAAAAAAGAAAAAAAATCAATGCCTGCTTCTCTTGCTCATTGCTGTAGACATCTGAACCTACCCATCTACTAAGGAATTATAACCCGAGGAAGGGATCCAGAGTCAAAAGGTTTCAGTTAATTACTGGCTTCTCTGTCCCCAAAAGGCCAATTATATTTCATAATATTTGTTGATCCCTCATGGTATTAGCAAATGTCATAGTCTTATCCAAATTGGTAAAATGATATTCCAGTTAATGAGTCTCCAATAGATAAGGAATATGACTTTCAATCTCAAGAATTCTTACTTCCTAATCCATTACGACACTCTTAAGCATCTTTCAGTTGCTCTCACCAGAAAAATATTGCTCATCATTCAGTCAGTTATGTGCCATATGTGATACATGCTTAGGCGATCATGTATCTTTCGAAACATGATTGACGAGGCAGATTTTTTCCCACAGTAGGTTGCCATTTCTTTCTTGCCATCCAAGGCTATAGAACCTGTTCTGTCCTACTATTTACCCTTAGCTGGGAGAAGAAGAGCATTCATACCTTTCCCAAGTGAATGTACTGTATTCGACTGGAATTCGAACTCAGCTCTCCGATTCCTCAATCCAAGTTACTATCCATTACTCCACCGTGCCTCCCCAAAGTCAAAAACCAATAAATTATCTTTTTCACTGTGATGAGTTAGAAGCCCTTGTTAAAGTGCAAGATAAATAACATGATCAAAATTAATAAAGTTTGCAATCAAAAGAAAAAAAGGTCAAAAAGATGAAACAGCAACAAACATGCAAGCAAGAAAACAATATAGTTAAAGCAAATCAAAATTGATAAAAAGGCAAAAGAATTCACAAACTAAGAGTTGGTGTTTGTACACAAAAGCAAGGTCAACCAAGTGAACACAGTATGTCTGTCTAGTAGTTAACACAGATCTGGAATGAGTCATTTCAAAATGTAAGCCATCTCATTTTATTGGCAAAGAAAAATATCCCAGCATGCATTCTGTGTCCTTCTGACTATAAGGAGGAGGGGGGAAACTTTTGCAATCATTCCCATTCCAATTTGGGAAATCAACACACTGCCTCCTGTGTTTACATTCTAATGTATTATTTTGTTTAGTTTGCTATTATGATGGTGTCCATCTGTTTCTTGTTCACTTAGAATACCACTGAGATGGTTATTTGTTCAGTTTCTCTACTCAATATCAAATGTCTGATTCCTTTTTCATACTTTACAGTGTGAAGCATGTTGTGTATGCATAGATAAAACAACAGCTGACTTGGAATTCAAGGAACTTGTCAACATTCTGTGGAATTGGTATTCTGCCTTGGGACTGCCTATTAGGTAAATACATTACTAATGCAATCTCACTCTATAATTAATTTTAATACAATCCCTCTCTTGGTATTTTACTGTAGATACAAGTCTGAAATAGATCTCTCTATGGTTTATTGATTTGTAATATGTAACAAATAAATACTGATGATTTATTGCCAGGTTTAAGTGGATGAGAATCATGACTGACATCATTCTTGAGATGTGATGTTCAATTTAAATATTTTTGTTGTGTGCCATTGATTTCTTCTTTCATGGAGGCTTATGGCCATATCACGTGAAAACACTGGTTTTCATACAATCACTAAAGTTAAACCAATGTTGAGCCTGGTCAGTACCTAGATGGGTGACTGCTTGAGAATACCAGGTGCTGTAAGTTTAGATGTGCAGGTGGTGTAATAGATAATGGCTCAGAATTAGAAATTGGAGAGCAGAGTTCCAGTCAGGTTCATGATATTCACTTATGCACAAATACCCTTGGGAAAGGTATGAATCCACCTCTTCTATCTCCAGCTATGGGTTAATGAGTTGGACTTGTATCAGTAAATTATTATTATTGCCCAAAATAATTCTAACAGTGTAAAAAATATTTTTGGCTTTAAATAACCTGCAAAATGTTGATAAGCCATAAAAAACAAATCAATCATTCTTGTTTTGTGTAGAGAAAGTAGATCTAAAAAATGCTTAAGCATCTTTTTAGATCTACTTTCTCTACACAAAACAAGAATGATTGATTTGTGCTCAAGAACAAAAAGAACATGTATAAATTTACTTTCATCATATGTTTAGGTTTTATTACTATTCTCATCATCACGTTTTAAAATAATAAACATTGCAGAGGAGTGAAGGTAGTTAAAATATTAGCGGTGTCAAGGGAAAAACCACCATTTTGACACACCATTTTTTGTGTGTAGGAAAGTTAAAGATTACCAATGTTTTTAAATTAATTATATGCAGACTATTGATAGATGAATTTACTTTTAAGCAGTCGTAATGGCTGGAGAAAATTAGTCTCTGGATATAAGTGATGCTATAATTAGCTAATAATATCTATGAAAAATAGAATAACCAAGAATCCACTTCAAATTAAATAATTCCTGTAATTTATAGTTCGGACTGTTGTCTCCACCTTAATTGTTATATCTATAATGTTTCTGGGATGAAGAATTATTATTTACCTTATTTCAGACTAACATTCACATCTTGGTGTCAATATTCACAAGCATTATATGAGTGTGTGCTGAAAAGTTCATAGGCTGATTGTGAAAGAGTGATGCTAGAGCTGCTGCATTTTCTTATTTAATAATTAAATTAAATATACAATTAATTTGAACACAAGGTCTGAAAATCATAATAATTAGTCTCAATAAGAATTTAAACTTTTAACTTACACTTTTTGTCAAGGTTGACAATGGGGCTAACAACATTTTTGCTGCAGCTACTGCCTCACCAGGTAAAGTAATTAAGGGACTAACATTTACCGAAGGGCTTGCTCACCCACGTCATTTTTGTTAGTCATTTTGGTATGCCATTTATGCAACACTTTATCCAGATAGTAATAAGACAGAGCACAGGGAGAAGAAGGTTCATGCCTTTTCCAAGAGAATTAGTGCAAATTGATCATGGTTTCAGGCCAAACTCTAACTTGGTTTGACATTTTTGTTATCTGCTTATTTTGTTACTTCACACTTCTATGTCAGAGGTGCAAGAAAACCTAAAAAACTTTAGAATTGCGTAAAATGTAAAAATGGTATTGGTTTTGAAAATTATAAGACTATGTAAAATGTAATGAAAAAATCATTGTGTTTTGAAATATATGGAAAATGAATTAGACATATTTACTTTCCTTATTGGTTGGGTCTTATATTTTATGAATTTTTTTTTTTTTTTTTTTTTTTTGCTTTTCAAGACTTGTGCTGCTACCAGCTGCTGGTCTTCAACTTTCTGAGATGAAGAAAATAGTCATTGAAGCCTGGGCACCAAGTCTTCAGAAATATGTTCAGGTAATGATAAAATTGCTCCAAGAATTGTTTGATCTTATCCTTTCTCTTGTTTGGTACATCATTTTGATTAATTTATGCAGTGAAATTGTTATGATTGGCTTATCTTGTAAATACATTCACATTCTCCACACATTGCAAAAAGCTATTAACTGATATTGATATATTGATAATAGTAATATTAGCCGTTTCCTTACCAGGAAACATTTGGCATTCACTGACCAAATAACCAGTATTGCTTTTGGTTGAAATTTATAAAATCTTTCTCTTAAAACAATCTTTCATGAAAATAGATTTCTCAAGTCCAGTAGCTGTTATCACTCTTTCCAGTATTGATGGGGGTTTTCTTAATCTTTTATTTGAATTAGTGTGGAATATCAACATATTGATTATACCAATATTTTCTTTTCAAGTTATATGTGCTATCCATTTTAGTTGTTGCTGCTGTTGGTAGTCCTCAAGTGATGTGGTTGCTGTTATTTGCTACAATTCTTTGTGGTTCTCTAGCACCAATCCACAATGTCCAAAGAAGGATGACTTTTGCCATAAATGCATAGGGTTTATTTGCTCAGAGCCTTTTTTTCACTATTAATCTTAGAAAACGCTTGTAGACAGAGATTTCTGAACTGGTTTCGCAACAACAGTATCAGTTAACTCTTTTAAAAGCATATATTAGTATAATTAGTTTATAATTAAATTACTTTTTATTGTTCACTATTTATATCGGGGAAGATTGTTAAAATGTAAAACAAGACTTAATAAAAAATAGAAATTATATCAGAAAATATTTTTTTTCTCAATGGAAAACCTCTTAAAATATCATATTTGTTTTTATGTAATGCACATTTAAGTTTATGTAATGCAGTATAACCTATAGTCATTTTCTAAGCACTGCTTAGATGTGGCATAAGGCCAGAAGTATGGAGCACCCAGTGAGGATTGAACTGACTACTCAGTCGTAATATGTGCTAGCAAGACAAACTTGCTAACCATTACACTACGCCAAGGTGCCCAAGTATAGCTTATATAATGTTTATGTAATGTTACTTATGTAACATAGCTTATGTAATGCGTGTAATGTAGGTTATATAAAGCTTATGTTGTTTATGCAATTCAATGTAACTTATGTAATGTTTATGTAGTGCAATACAGATTATATAATGATTGCATAATATAGCCTATGTAATGTAATATACCTTATATAAGATTTATACAACATTGCTTATGTAAAGCTAATGCTTACGTAATGTGATATAGCTTATGTAATCTTATCTAATGCTGTACATATTATATCTTTTAATGATCCTGGCTGTTCTGACAGTTTTCAAGTACTGGTTATTAGTTTCTCCTGTATTTTCAGTTTTAAAGTAACAACTGATGATTGTCCATTCCTAGAATCAACTTTCTATTTAAATAAGTTAACATCTATAAAACACTTAGTCAAATATTGTTTGCTTTCTTCCGACTACCCAAATTCTTGAAGCTGCTTCAGTCATTTTGAGTGCCAGTTTCAAATAATGCTTCCAACTGGCAAGCATTTCAACACTAGTATCTACCATTATAACATCTGAAACAAAAGGTACAACTCTTATATTAATAGTGATAAGATATTTATGTTAATAATAATAATAATGTGATAATAAATTAGAGCCATAGTTGTTAGATGTGTACCTGAAATAAACCTTGAAAAAAAAAAAGTCTGTAAAAACAAAAATATAGTTGATGCTTCCTAATATCAAGGTTTTAGCTTATGCTATTATTATTTTTTTTTTTTATGTGCCATGTCCTTTCAGGATATAGGCGACCATGGCTCTCCACCTCCCTCTATCCCTTGCAGCACTCAACGTTCCTTCCTTCTGCTTCATCCCCCAGACCACATTCTTGCTTAAGTCCGCCAGATATGTCATGTGTTGTTTTCCCTTGTCTCTCTTTCCTTCAACCCGTGAGTATCACATTCTCCAAGCCCTCCTTCCTCATTATGTCCCAGAAACTTCAGCTGCCTCTTCCTGATATTAAGTATAAGCCTCCTCCTTGTTTGTAACATCTCTAAGATCTCATCGTTGCTCACACGCTCGGTTCATAATATCCTTAGCATCCTTCTGTAGAACCACATCTCTGTTGCCTCAAGTTTTTATAGGCTTGTGTTCTTTTTTTCCTATTATTTTTCATTTAATTGTAATCATGGCTTGTTTAACTAAAATAATTCCTCATAAATAAAGCCTAGGTTGTACCATTTACTAATAATTTTACGAATTACTAATTTTTTCTTGATTTTCCCTGCTGAAATTGGGGTGTGTTGTATACATCTTTGCGTCTTATATGCCGTCAAATATGGTAATAATTTACTGTTCCCATGTGTTGTCTTGCTGAAGTGTATTTTTATTTTTGTTTAAACATACAAGGTTTATACTTTTGACTGTGAAGCCAGCATAAATGCAGTGGTGTTGCCATCTTATAAAGGTAGGATGATATATGAAAAATACGATTATACAATTTAAATGAAGTGATCAAAGAGTGATAATCTCTTATTGAGAAATGTTTGAACACTTTATTATATACAAGTAAAATTTCTGGTCATAGCAAGAGTTAAAGGTTATCCTCTGACTTTAGATTTAGATTTTTCACTTTTTTTTTTGTCACCTTTCAGGTTGGCTCTGTGAGCAGTACAGGAATATATGTCGGTCAACGTTTGATGATCTTACACTCAAGAATGAATTCACCTCCTCAACCTGTTCATCTGGTATGTCCCTTTCAAGTTTTCTGATCCTTATATTGCTACAAAAAGAACAGGTTTACATTATTGGAAAATTAAATTCAAAGAGCTAACTTAAAACAAACATATTTTGTTCTATTATGCATTGCCAAAACATTCAACGAACTTTTCATTGTACTGAAAAGAGGTCATTTTGAGTGCATAGAAGGTGGGACAGAAATCATGAAATCATTAATGTCCACCATCCCAAAAGTGGAATGGTAGGTTAGAGATAGAATCTTATGATATCTGATTGTTTTTAGAAACCTATAATTAATACTGTTTTTTATTTTAATTATAATTTTTACAGGATTTTATGGCAGTTATTAATGTGTTAATAACAATATGATGAAAAGTAAACATTTCTAATAAATAAAAGGCAATATTGATTTCTCAGAGTTGACAACCTATTCAACCATCCTACAAATGTCTACATACAGCAGGTCCCTCTCTCAGGTTTTCACCAACTGGGCACATAACCCCATGTTGCATCTCTATTCTTGTTTGCATCAATGTGCACAAAAACTGGAAAAGTTTATAAAGGAAACAAAAGGTGGTAACAACTGCCACAGTTATAAATCACTAATCATGTTTCTAATATGTTTGATTGTTTATTCAGAGATACACTTGCACAATCTTTGGGCAGGGCAGTTAGGTAGGTATGTGACACTTGGGACAACTTCTGCCATGACAAACCTTCAACCAGCAAGAAGTATCAGTCTCTCCTACCACTCTTCTGTCCATCTCTACATCACAACATGTAACTGGCAGCCCTAATGGGTAGCATTGGAACTACCTCAATGGACAGCTTGACCAGAACTACCCACAATCCTAACTGTGACTTTATATAAACCTGCAGACAGAAATTTCCAATATCTGGTGAAGTGCAACTCGATCCTCAAATTTTTTATTTATTTATTTATTCCCTTTTGGTCAAGTGGTAGTCACTCTGAAGATCCCACTTTGCAGATTTTACTGCTGGTCATAAATAATACAAAACACTTAAGAAGACTGAGATAAAATCATTTACTATCCTCTTTGATGTGAGTGTCTCAATCACAGCTGCAGCATCACATGAATATTCAAGCCACACAGAAAAATAATATGACTTTAATTATATTATTGTTGTAAAATCATAAACATTTCCTTGAGTGCATTTAACAACTCATTTTCTTTACAGAGTATCACATCTCCTTACCTAATTTTGCATTTATTGGAAATGAAACAAAAATCCAATTAACTATTGAGTATGGAAGTTGATGTAGAACTCATGACTGTTTTCTCCTGAATGATGTATTGTGCTGAAAGCCCTAATATGAACATTTCAGAGTGTTTGGGTGCAATGCAGAGGATTCGGAAAGAGTTGATTGAACTTAATGGTGATCTAGAGTAATATATATATATATATATATATATATATATATATATATATATATATATATATATATATATATATATAGTCAATTAGAATCACACAGCTTGACAATACCTAGGGATGAATATATTAAATTTTTTAAACTCATTTTTAAGTGCTATCCCTTGTGAAAGATATGTTTAATATGGGTTGTTTATTTTGTATAATGATATCTTTGGGTATTTTAAGACTTTCTTTACAGTCCTATATAGTATTTTAGTATTTTTTTGCTAATATTTGTCATATTTTGGTTGCTTGAGACACAATGAATGATATGTGAATTGTACATTTTTTTTTATAAGTTAACCTATTAGAGAATGTTTTTTTTTATAAGTTAACCTATTAGAGAATGTTATTGTTGTGTGGCCAGTATAAGAATTTAAGGTTGGTGATGCATTTTCCTTGAAGTTAGAATAAATTCAAAATATTATTTTTGCATAGGGGATTTTTGAGATCTTAAATTATTTATAATGATTAGGTGAGATGTTTTAATTTTTTTTAAAATGATAAATTGTAGGCATTTATTACACCTGTTATGTGATATGTAGTGGCAAAATATATTTGTAACTAGCTTAAAAGCCACCATATCAGGTGACATTTAAGTTAGCTCCTTCAGAAGGCTCTTGATTGGCCAAACTCCATGCATTAAGTACATATTAAATTTTATTAAACTTGAACAATCAAGCAACAGTTTTCATCAAAGCAATGATATAATTTGTCTATTTGAAACTTATTGCAAAGCTTTATGATAAACAACACTTTTGGTTTTCCTATTCAGGCTCAGTACAAATAGTTTGTTTCCATTGAAAAAAATGTGACACAGACATTTTCACATTTATTATATAGATAGCTTTTTCATCTTGTTTATAGTTAGGGTGCATCTAGTTACAGCAGAATAAACTGTTGATGTGTTTGTTTATATAAGGATGGTCATTTATGCTATTCTTCCCAAATTCATCAACATAATTTGGAAAACGGTTGTCAATACATATTTGTGTTGTTGCACAATTCTTTACAATTATGTGTAAAGGAGAAATTTTTGTAGCATATTTGATGATGCTTGTTGCAGAGGCAGAAATAGGTAACCTGGAAGACAGAACCTCATTACTGTTGTGGAGGTTAATTCCTTCTCCGCGTTGGCAAATGTAAATCCAAGCAACAAACAAAAGAGGACATTGAGTAAGGGTAAATAAATGTATAACTTATATATATATATATATATATATATATATATATATACAAAGACTGGTAACATTTATCTGTTGCTATGGAAACGGAAAAAAGAGCAGTGAAATAAGAAGTGAAATGGACATTGGTGGTGACCATCATTTTCAGTGGTGTTGCTCTCTTAGCTTGTCAGTGCTGATGTCAAATACTAGTTTGTGTTGGTCTGTTTGAATTTAGGTATATATAGTTTTTAGTTGGCTTGAAATTAGGGTTTGAGTTTTTGAGCAGGAGTGGTTCTGACTGGTCATAACATTATTTTGTTTTGATTAAAGCAGATGTAATCATGGAGCTGATGCACAGAAAATGGATTTACACAGTTTGCTTTGGGCTGTCAAATGGCCAACATCCAGTTTGTGTAGAAAATATAAGAGGCACAACAAGTTCTTTAAAATATTTATTTGATATCTGTGATTATATTTACTTTGGTAACTAAACAGATAAGAGTTTGTTTTTTTTTTTTAGAAAAATTTTATTTTTCTGGTAAAATCTGGAATTTGCCAGAAAGAGTTGTGCTTTGGCAATTGTTGGTGGAATGCACCTGAACTTGCTATGAGAAGAAGAAAAAAAATCTAAAATTTTGATTTTTGACTAATGAAAATTATAGTGTTAATGGTATATCAATAAAGCTCAGAAGAAGGAGAACTATTGTAATCAACTTTCCTAAACTCCCAGAAAAGTGTGGCATGAGTAAACAAATTGGAAGACCACCAAAACTGACAACAACTGCACAAAGACACTTTCTTCAAAAGGCTTCTAAAGAACAATTATAAACAAAATGCCTCTGGAAATACCTCCAGCTAAACACAATTTCCAGATTGTATATAACAAGCATCAAAAGATGAATTTGATAATTTAGCTTGATCAAGAAAGAAGATATCATCTCTGACACAACTTTATAAAAAAAATGCACTGAATGGGTGAAGGAGAAAGTTATTTGGGACAATGAAAATGGGGGTGATGAAAAGAATTTACATGATCCACATAGGATACAATCTTTACTGGCATGATTTACATAAAGAAACACACATATTCTCAAAGAAACCATTTACTGGAGGCTCTGTTTTGATTTGGGAATTTTTTCTAAAATAGAAAGATTAAATTAATCATGATAAACGGTTGACAAAATACACCAAAGTTCATTAAGGTCTTTAAAATCCCTTTTGTTTACTCCCATTGCGACCATAAATTCATATTCAAAAGACAATGCAGTCATCCATATAGCAAAGGCTCTCAACCTAAACCCTTTTTTTTTCACCCTAAGCAAGGCAATAATGCCACTAAGACACAAAGGGTTATTGGGTGAAAGAGAATGAGAAGAATTTAGTAAAGTGAAAGGACAATAAAAGAACATGATTCAGGAACAGAGAAGATAGAAATTGACATTGCATTTAAATTCTTGAAGAACATAAGTGGAAGAGAAGCAAGAATTCCACAAGCAAGAAGTGTGAGAAACTATTATAATAGAATTTACAGTTCAACAGTGGCAAGCTATGTCACATAAATCTTCCTGGAGAAGATCCCATCTACATCACCTAAGCATAATGAAGAAATTCGCTCCAGTGAGTCTCAAGACACACATACCCCCCACTATCACGTCTCGCTGGTGGCTGAACAAGCCTATGGTACTCCTCCTTTAAAATGGGTGAACAATATGTTGCAATCAAGATGGACGAATACTAACAGTCAACTAAAATCGTTAATCCCTGATGTCTCTTCCTGTCCACCAGGCCATGATCTACAGCGAGGCCATTGGATCAAACTGAATTGTCTGTTTGAGATACAAGGCTTTCAAGAATGACATCGGTCATGCAAACAGCTCAAGCTACACTTGCAAGGAGCTACAAAACTATGCAAAATGTCTTCACGTTTGCAGATGTGAATATGCAAGGCAGATGTGAAAGAATTGGTTACATTTTTTTAGACTAGTTACAAACCTGTAACATTTGATATATGAATGTCTGAATTGCTTTCTCACACTGTTCTTTATACATGTATATGCATTTGTGAATTTGGTGGTGTACTGCCTTTGTTCATATACAAACAACAACTGTGCTCAAGGGAGGCATTTTCCAACAGACAAAACCAAGATTTTCTGTATCAAAACTACTTGGAATGAAATTCCAGCTGTGACACTCAATAATCCATTTTCATCAAGACAAAACAGATATTCTACAAATAATGGGAATGCTCAACATGTATTATGAACAGCGTAACTTATGTTAAGATATAAATTTTTGTAACCTATTTTAGATTTTCAGTTAATGTTTTCAGAACTGGTGATTTCAGTAGTGAAAGTATCATCAAATTTCAAGTATCCTAAAGAAAAGTCAGAATCAAATTTATGGGATGCCATATTTATTACCATGCCATTTTTATATATATATATATATATATATATATATATATATATATAGTTTTAAGATATGCTACATTTATGGGTAAAAATATGAAAGAGAGTGCATACATAAATGTAAAAGTGGACACTGATGTAAACACAAGCAGCAGTGACTGTCAGTTTCATGCTTCAATGCAGTCTTCATAGCCTGATATATATATAATAATATATATATATTACATATATATATATATATATATATATGTTTATATTTATATACACACACTTTTCACATATATATAAATAATATATATATATATATATATATATATATATATATATATATATTAGTTGCTCACTGTAATGAGACTGACTACAATTTTGACATAAAATTACTACTCTAGTTAATTGAAAATAATTCATTAAGATGGAAATGTTTAGAAAGTACTTTAATTGTTATTTCATTCATAATAAATTTGTGTCCAGGTTCCTACAATGTTCGACTGGCAGATTCTCTTTTATCACAATGTACAATATTTAATAACAAAGATGATAGAAACAAAACAAAAAATAATCCAAATAAAATTGGCTAGATTATATATCCAAAACACATAAAAATAGTTTTTTTTATAATTTAAAATTCTCAGCGTCTTTCATTTTTTGCACATGTGTAATTACATCAACATAAACAAACCATTGAAGTCCTAAGAGACAAAACATGTCACACAAAATTCCTCCAAAACTGTTCTTGATATATAAAAATGTATATATCATTATCTTATTCATATATATATATATATATATATATATATTCTGCTGCCTCACTGCGCACCACTTCTCTGGTATAAGTCATTCTGAAATGTGTGGATTGGTTCTACACAAATATATAATAATCAAATTATCTGCGGAAGACTCTCCCATCAATTATAACATATGAGGACCTAACTTATGAGCTTTTAGGACTGACCAACCAGCAGTCTACCCAAACACAGACACATGCTCATTTGGATTTGAGACTTAAAAACAGGAACAAAACTAAAATTTTATTGTAATCAACAGGAGAAGTGTTTAGTGATTCCTTTGGAATGCTGGATCTTTGGAAAAATTTTTTTTTGACATTAGTAAATAAAAAAAAACAAAAAAACAACATATCTCATTTTCTTTTGAAATCAGATTCCAAACCAAACACGGTGATATGAAAGGTGAATTTGTATTTCAATTTAGAAATGTTGCAAAACTAGTGAGTTAATTTTGACACACCCTGCTTAAAATCGTTAATGCAGTTTCAGGAAATAAAAACAGATTTTGCTGGAAACAAAAAGGTCACTTATACTTAGCATCAGAAAGAGACAGTTGAAACTTATGGGACAGATAGTGAGAAAAGAAAGCTTGGAAAATTTGACATTCACAGGATTTATCAAAGGCAAGAGGGACTGGGGAAGCAGTAAGCAACCTATTGAACAAGCCTGTGTAAATAGAAAGCAGAACACGGAGTGGGAGAGATAGTAAAAAGACAAACATTGCTTAGAGCTACAGAGGATAGGAAATCGTGGAAAGTCATGATCGCCAATGACATTAAGGAACATGGCACATAAAGAAGAAGCTTATTCAAATCTTTATAAGCTGTCTGTTTCCAGGCAACTGCTCATAAATATTTTAACAAATGTTCCATAATCTCCAATGTCATCATTGATAAAAAAAGTCAATCCCTTGCCTGTGTTAAATTAATATGAAACAGTGATTATTGTTTCATTTTTTCTTCCTACCAACAGAACATGAAGAATAATCATTAAAAGAAATGAAAGATTTTATGTACTTGTTTAGTAAAATGTATCCAGGATGTTGCTTTTTATTCAGTTTAACTTAGTATGTTACAAAGCTAGAAAAAGTGCTTGATGTTTAACACCAATCTGATTGGTCCTTAAATTAGTTACGTCAGCAGTCTATTTTGCAATAAATATCCTGAATCTATAATCAAGATTTTACTTAGTCAAGTACAGATAAAAGAATTAATTTGGGTGTTTGAAAAAGGAAGTAAAAAAGGCTTGTTCACTCTTAATTGCCCCATGGTTTAACAGTTGAACTGCCCCGTGTTATTTTTACAAAAAAATATTGTAACTGCCTAAGTTGTAAGAATTTAATGAGAAAATTATATACTGGTTATTCAATGGGAATCTCTTATTTGGAAAATCTTTAAATCCAAGAACATATTATATGTGTGTGTATATATATATATATATATATATATATATTTTGTGATGTTACCGAACGCTTGTTGCCACTTTTGTAATGTCAATGAATACTCGTTGTCACATTCATAATGCTCATTGTAGTAGAGACTTTGTAATCATAGATACAAGTATAGTAATACCGTTGAACAATACTGGTGTCAGATAGCTTTGAATAACACACTAATAGTAATTGCTCAATAATACTTGCTCGAAAAGTAACCACTGAATAGTAATCTGTATAGGGATCTGAATAGTAATCCATATAGTAATCCTTTAGACACCACTTTAATTCCCATATATACATTTCCTTTACCATCATGCGATCTACTTATTCAAAATGGGATTGCCTGTGTTTGTTCCCTGGTGATCTGTGTTCAAACTCCAGTGTTGGTAGCAACACTTTATTCCTATATAACAGTTCTAGAGTCACATATCAAGGGGTTAATTGATAGATAGTTTCTCCCTTCTTATAAAAATAGATTTTAGACAAACTGAAATAAATTTCTTTGCAAACATAATCACTATTTAGTGCTACACATATCTCCACTTTTCTATTCTGTCTGAAGAATGTTTCTGGTTTACTTCTGATACAAGAGGACACAAAATCTTCAAATTCAGCATCAGATAAAAATGTTGACCGTTTAACTTCTGAAACCACAAGAAATCTGATGGTATCAAATCAATGTTGTGCAAAACGATGTGAATTTCAAATGACAGTTATTATTTGTGCAGTTTCTTGATGGCAATACAGTCTTATTTTATTGAAATGCAAACAAAACAACAAAAAAATTTACCCTTTTAATCTTTATTCATACTTGTACAACTATTACTATTTTGCATACAACTGAATTTCAATTGGCACTCAACTTTCTAATGGCCAAAATTCTATCACTCTTCATACTCTTGACTACTCAATGTTGTCACATAGATGACATGAAATGTATTTGAACAGGACATTATATACTACTACCTAATACATGTTCAAACATATTTCTATCTCCACTGTTAGACATGCCACACAGTAGGAGCCCCTTTATATCAATCAGTTCTTATATTTAATGTTTCTATGAAAATTCTTTTACTTAAAAATCTTGTTTAAATCAAAGTTGAATGTTTCTGTTAAATCTTTTGATTCAGGTCCATGCAGAATTACTTGATGTGTCCAAGTTAATAGCTTTTTTGATGGAATATGGAAACATATCAGATGATCAGGTAAAATATCATCAGCATCCTCAAACTTTATTGACATAATTCATATAAATGACTTTACACACAAAGTATTTTTTTATTATTAGGATGTAGCAAAAGTATTTTCATTTTTGATAAACCCTTAGACTAAGGCTTATTTCATGTACATATCTGTCCACTATCTATGGTTTAACTATAGTCTTTCTGAAATTTATTGAATTCTTCTGTTTGAGTTCTCCCTTTATTTTAAATCATAATAATAAACAACTTATGGTTGTCCATTTCTGGGTTTTATTTCAAGGGGGAAAAATTACCACCCTTAAAATGCTTGGACCTACTCTGAGCAGTAGGGTCTGATACTGTTCCATTTCATTCTAGTTCCTGAATTCTATGAGTAGCTTCAGCAGCTTTAAGGCCAAGTTTCAAATAATTCCTAAAAATTGCCAGCATCTCAATACTTGTATCTGCCATTTAATAATGACAGTGTTTCATAGAAAAATTTGACAATTTAATATTAAAGAAAATCATTTTGCATTTTATTGAAACATGGTATTCTTCTCTTTGAGTTTTATTTTTGTTAGAGGTTCCTACCATTTATAATTTTCATTTAGTCTACAATCTATTTTTGTTTAACTAATATATATATATATATATATATATATATATATATATATGAGGAAGTTGTAAAAAGTTCTTAACCTGACCCACTTCTTTTGATTGGGTAAAAATGTTGGGCACTATCTGAGAAAAAGAGCACCATGACGCAATTCACTCTGTCAAAAATTTGGATATGGTGTGCTGTACTGCTTGGCATACATTTCAGTTTGATTTTAATAGAAACATTTCAGAGTGTTTGGGTGTCAATCTGCAGAAATGGAAAGAGTTAGATGAGTCTAATGGTGGTTACAAAAGTATGCCAACTTGGAAAACTCACTTTGATCATTCTAATGAGAAAAAACTGCCAAATTTGTTGGTGAGGGCCTCAGAATCAACATGGAGGCCTACATCAAGTGCCTTGAGGAGTTAATGCTACGCTGGGTCAAGAGGGTGACTGCTGGAAGACCCTTTGTCTGGCAACAGGACTCGGCACCATGCCAAACAAGTAGGAGAACTCAGTCATGGCTGCCAGACAATTTCTGTGACCACATCACCCCTTACATCCAGCCACTTAACTCCCCAGACTGCAGCACCTTTGATTATTATGTGTGGGGCACAGTTTAGTGAGAGACCAACAAAACTCCTTGTAACACCAAAAATGAACTGAAAGTGTGGAGTATGGCAGTTTTAACCAACTTAAATAAGGTGACTATCCAGAAGAGTTGCAGGAGATTCCAACGTAGTCTGTAGGCCGTGGTTGTAGCGAATTGCGAGATTATTGAATAAATTTACTCTTTAGTATTTGTAGATATTTTTGTGTAATTTTGGTAAATATATCTGTTAAAATGAAATGTCAGTGTTATTTTCATTTTTATGTAATTTAGAAGACAATTTATCCACCACACGCTGTATATGTGTATGTAGTATTTGTACAACAATTTTTTGATTATGCAGTTTTTGTTGAAAACCAACAAAAGTTAATTGTTCAAATTTTTTTGATTTAATTTCTTTACAATTTGGATCATTTCCCTATTTTCTAGGGAGAATCTGACCATAAATTGTCTAAAGTCTTCTGAGCATTTTCAGCTTTCATAAGCCATTATCAAAGAATTCTTGTTTGTTGATAAGGTTTCACTTACATCCATTGATGGGAATCATATCAAGCTTATGTCTTCAGGTGTCAGTTTGTGGTAGTGTGTCATTTTCTGCTTGTTTTATTATTTGTCAAATACATTTAGTATGTTTGTTTTTAAATTGAATGAAATTTTTATTAATTCAACAGATTCTGTTGCTTAAACATTATTTTTAGGCTATACCTATATTTGAGTGGATGCTTTGTTTATTTATTAAATAGAATATTTATTTATTTTTGTCTACCATAGAGCTCATATTTTTCTTTAATAAGATTTCTCAAATATTCAGGCTGGTAGATAAAAAATAAATAAATATACTGTTTAATAAATAAATGGAGCATCTCCTCAAATATAAAAAAAATAATAAAATATATATTTATATATAAATATAAATATAAATATTTTTTTTAAAAAAAATAATAAAATATATATTTATTAATAATAAAATATATATTTATATACTTATTTTCTTTAAAAAGTCACCTGTCTGGCCTGGAAGAAACCCTTGCTGACCAAGTTTTAAAAATCATATTCCATAAAATCAGTATTCTTCAATGTTTAGTCAGTATAAAATGAGTAACATTTTACAAGTTATTGGTGAAGTAAAAATTAAGAAAACTAATTTTAAAACAGATGCCATTTTTCTAGCAGGAGCTACTTATTCATATGTCATCATATTAGGAAAGTTGTATACAACTTTTTAATAGAGTCACTTTTTTAAAAAATGCATGCAGACATTAACTGACTGATATTGTCATTTATACCCTTAAAAAAATGAGGAGCCTTCGGATTGTCTAAAGAATGCATCCCTTTTACTCATATGAATGGTACTTTGACATTTTACTTAATGTGAAATCCACAAAGACTTGTGTTAATATAATAAAAAGTGTATTTAAACAAACAAGTACTAGTTCCCACTGTAGTTTTCAGAATTATTGTTCCATGGATCATCCAGACTGTTGGATTCATTTGATATTAAACACGTCACTTTTACAAGGATTCATTTGATGCAAGCATTATATGGTTTGGAGAATGTCAAATTTACAGGATATTTGTTTTGTAATTTTCAGTCTACAAAGAATTGTCATGGTTTAATTTTGTTTTTTTACATTTTTTGATATAGACATATTTATAAATCACAGTATCTTTTTTTTTTATTTTGTTTAACTAAAACTTTTTGAAATTTAAAGAAACAAAAGTTATTCAACAGTTAATACAGTATTTGACTTGCTAATACAGGGTGTGATAGGTAAATTTTCACCATTTTATATTTTCAATTTTGTGCATATGTTGTTTTTTTCTTGACCACTAACAAAATAGTTTAATGTTGGGCATTTCTGTGAGAAAAAAGAAACCATGACACAATTCACTATGCCAGAAATATTGAAACAGCATGCTGTACTGCTTGGCATTCATGCTGGAAGCTCCAATATGAACATTTCAGAGTGTTTGGGTGTCAATCTGAAGACAATGCAGAGGATTTGGAAAGAGTTGGATGAGTTTCATGGTGATTATGAAGGTATGGCAGCTCAGAAAACTCACTCTGATCGTTTTGAATTAGAGAACTTTCAAAATTGTTGGAGAGGGCTTCAGACTCAACACAGCTCTGTGGAGATAGTACAGCCCTCAATCAAGAGGGTGGCTGCTGGAAGGCTGTATGTCTGGCAACAAGACTCTGCACCATATCAAACAAGTAGGAGAACCCAGTCATGGCTGTCAAATAATTTTTGCAATTACATCACCCCTTAAATCTGACCACCTAACTCCCCAGACTGCAACCCCCTTGATTATTATGTGTGGGGCGCAGTTGAGTAAGAAACCTTCAAAATTCCTTGTAACAGATGAACTGAAGGCAAGGATTATGGCAACATTCACTACCTTAAGCAAGGAGACCATCCAGAAGAGGTTTAAGGAGATTCAGAAGTCATGGTTGAAGCCAATGGTGATTGCATTGAATACATTTACTCTTTACTATTTCAAAATATTTTTTGTGTAATTTTGGTAAATATATCAGATAAAATGAGATGTTATTTTCATTTTTTGTATAATTTAGATGACAATTCATCCAACGCATCCTATATATTATCAGTTCTTGTCTTAGAATCGTTCTGCATGAAACCTAGAGTAACAATTTGAACCTAGTCTTTTTGTGCACTTGCATTTGTTAGTGTTACTGCTCTGTCTTGGTCTATTTGCTAGAGACATTGAACACTTTGAGTTGGTGCCTGTTTTTTCTCTCTTTTTTTCTTTTCATTGTTTTGTCAGTTTTTTTCTTTGCTTATTCTTGGTTTCTTTTTCTTTTTAGTTGTTTCAAGTTTTTTTTTGTTTGTTTGACAGGTATAGTGTTGACAGAGTTGTATTTAAATGCTTTACCAATAGTTTGTTTTGTTGCCTTTATTACAATTTCTGGGAGAAAGCATACAATCTAGCATACTCAAACCCTCAGTCACAATGATGGGCTCCAAACCAGCCTGTCCTCCCAATTTCTCTCACAACTCATGATACAGTTTTCAGGCACTTCCCAACAATACCATACCCAGGGTTTGACTCCCCAGGCTGATATTATCAAGAAGTTACCCCGTTGACAAATTAACCATAGCAAGATTCGAATCCAGATCTCACTTTCAGAATTCTAACAATTTTACCAATTGACCATGTACCCATATAATTTTATTTGTTGGTGTTAATGATCTATCTCTTGATATTAAGCACTTTAATTTAAGACTGCTTGCCTTAAAAGCATTATACTTCAGAAATAGATTGGTCAACCATTTTTTTTGCAAAACACAATTTTTATTATTTTATTATAAACAATATACTCTGACAATATATATATATATATATATATACACGCACACAAAGAACTTAAATTCGGTCTTGGAAGATAAGTTGTATGCTTCGGCCTTCTTCAGGACACATGGCACAGTGGATAAAGGCGTTGGTTAGATACAGTGACAGAACCCAAAGAGTGTGAGTTCAATACCTGGTTAAGGCAGTGGAGAACTTTCAGAGGGAAAATTAACAGGGGATAACTGATAACTGACATCCATTAAACATGGCATTTGGAACTAGAACAGTCTACCCCAGTGAAAAAAAATAAAGGGTTCAGTTAACAAAAAACCACCTGAAAAAGCATTTATTTTCAAATGAAATATTTAAAATTTTGAATGTAATAAATATGGCAACAAAGATGAGGACAATAGTCAGTTAATAATGTAAATAATGGTTTGAATTTATATGGGCAGATAGAAAATTGGATGCTGGGTAAAATTATAACCTGACCAGATAATGTTAGTTGATCCAGGAGATCTAGTTGGTAACATAGTATAAACCCATTGCTGGTAAGAGGTTTTTCAACCAATGATCACATGAGAACCTTTAAGGGGATTTAAATATGCCAAATTTGGAGAAGTTTAGAAAAATGATAAATTAGGGATTTTTGATAATTAATTTAAAAAGACTAAATATTTTTTTTTTTCTCAATACCAGCTGGTTTTAATCCTTGGACAGTTTTTGGCTCAATTTGCCATTAAAATTTGCAAGGAGTTGATCTCACCACCCACTTCATATTTTATTTGTATTTTTTTGTTCACCCAAAAGATACGTCCCAAGAAGAATTAGTCAACTGAAGATTTTGTTTGCAGTTTAATGATCTAGTGTAAGTGTTATAAACTAAGTTTATTTAACTCTAAATATCATTTTTTACCAGAGAGCTATAACCTTTATATCATTAAAAGCCTAAACCTGGGACCATGTAAAAAGGTTTTAGGCTGGAACACTCAATTCCTAAAGCTGGCATTGCCTTCAGTTGTTCTGTTTAGATGGGAAAATATCTAAAATATATTTTAAAAAAAAAATGAGCCTTTGTTAAAAATAAGTTTTTAGTCATTATTGCCTTGGAACATAAAAAATAAGTAATGACCGTCTATTATTTATTTCTTTAATATTCATTGCCAAAATAAAATTGCTGATTATGCACTGAGAAATACAGTTTAATTGCATGAATTGGGGACTAAAATCAAATGACATCCATTTTGGAAAGCTTAAAATATGCATTACGTCTTAGTAATAACTTTTTTCAGTTCAAAGAGGAAATATTTCCCCCTATCATTTTAGCACTACTCATTTTATTATTATTTTAATCGTTAAATGGTGAAGTGCTTTAAAGATTGCGGTTTATAAATGTCAACCAAAAATATAAATACCGAAATTGTGAAGCAATAAACTTGGATTTATTATGAATTTTCTCTAAAAGTAGGACATTACACATTTTCAAACTGTTCTAAATTTGGCACAATGCCACCTAGAACAAATAAGAGATTTTGTTCTGATAATTTACAAGAATTTAGTAAGCACAGCAATTGAAGTTTAAAATTGCTCTGTACATTTCTTATTGAAATGTGTAAGTATATATGCAAAATATTCATTGGGATAAATGAAGACATAATAGTTTCTTTTTGAATTTAAATTATTAGCATTTTCCTAATCATCTTTTCTGACTTTGAGTTGGAATTTTTTTTTTTTGCAAAGAAGAGCAAACATGAGATATGGTCTCTTCCATTTTGATGGATTTTTTTATCTTTTCTGCCAGTTATGAAAACAATTTCTTCTCTTCAGTTCCAAAGTACAAAGCATTAAACAATTTTGAAAACTTCAAAAGTGTGTGTGTTATATATATATATATATATATATATATATATATATATAGAATTTGTGTGTGTGTGTGTTCCCAAAGTTCCATAATTATGAACTCTATTCCTTATTTTCATCAACGACCTTCAAACGCCATAGATTCCCAAGTTGGCATCTATGCGGATCAACACTACAATTTACTCCTGCCTCAAAAACAAATCTAGTAAATATGAAAAGAAAACTGAAACCTGGTAATGCATCTTGAAATGGACCTCCAATCGTGTTTGTTAATTGGGGCAAGAATTGGCTGGTCAACTTTAACACCTCAAAAACTAAACTACTCTCTATTAATCACCATTGAGATCCTTCCCTGCCCCCCATTAGAATGTCTGATAGTCAACTTCTTGAGAGCAACTCCCTGCGTCTGCTCGGTCTCACATTGACTGCTGACCTGAGATGGAACAAATACATTGAGTCAATTGCTTTTTCCACCGCGAGGAAAGTTGGCTCTCTGTGCCGCGCCAGGAAATTTTCTCCCGGAATCGATACTTCAAATATACAAATCAACCATTCGCCCTTGCATGGAGTATTACTGCCATATATGGTCTGGAGCACCTTCTGTTTACCTCGGAGTTCTTGACAAGATCCAGAGACGGGTATGTAATATAATTGGCCCTGATCTGGCATCTCATCTACAGTCACCTCACAGGCGCACCGCCGCCTCTCTGTCTTTTCTACAAATACTTTCATGGTAATTGCTCCGATGAGCTGCTTTCACTGGTTCCCAGACTCCATGAATTCAAGCGCCCTACGAGGCTGGCATCCTGCTCCCACCCTTACACTGTAGAAACTTTTAAATGTAACCGTCTCTTCTACTCCA